TTTGTTGTTCAGTAATTTCAGTCATGTCTGACTCTTTGTGACTCTGTTTGGGATTTTCTTGGCAGAGATACTGGAGTGGTTTGACATTTCCTTCTCCAGCTCACTTTACAGATGAGGAAACTGAGGCAAACGGGGTTAAGTGACTTGCCCAGGGTCACACAGCTAGTGTCTGAAGTCAGGTTTGCATATAGTAGACATATAATATATAGTTATTGAGTTAAACTGTTAAACTCTTTTAAATTTCTTTTTTTTGGTGGGGGGGTCAGGCAATGGGGTTAAGTGACTTGCTCAGGGTCACACAGGTAGCAAGTGTCAAGTGTCTGAGGCCAGATTTGAACTCAGGTCCTCCTGACTCCAGGGCTGGTGGCACTCACTCTCTCATCTGCTGGTGAATGTATGGGCTGTAATTTTTCCACATTGAACTCAGGGCTAGTTGATGACCCTGAAACACGTTACTAGTTTCAGGACTTATTCTCTAGCAACTTCTCAGCAGAGCTGTGACCAGTTGCTGTGGGGAAGGCAAGCCGCTGCTTATGGCACGACATGCAATGGGGGAAGCAATGCGGGGATTTTCTTTAATGCTCCTTTTAATAAGTACACTTTTTGTTATCTGGGAAATGAATGATGGGAAAGGAGAAGGCAAGTGATGGTTCACAGATCAATCGCCTGAGCGCTGCACCGGTGTCCAAGAAATGCTATCAAACCTAAGGAAGGGCTGCAGTGTATTGGCCATATTTTCCATGAAGCATTTATGTGAGGACAAGGACAAGAGATGCTCAGAATGATTAAGACACGGATGAGCTGGCATCCTCTTCAGTGGAGAGAATGTCCACGTCAAGGAGATCACAGCTCTATTGAGGTACTGCCAGGAGATTGTAGAATCCTAGCTTGAGGCTGAAAGGGCCTTCAGAGGCTTGGTGGTCCAGTCGTTTCATTTTACAGAGGAGGAAACTGAGGCTCAGGAAGGGTACAAGAAGCCAGTGGCAGAACCAGGATTCTTCAACGCTGAATCTTTCCTGATGTGCCACACCTCCCGTGACATGTTGGTAAGGATTCTGTGAAAGGCTGAGTTCTCTGTGTTCTAGTCCATGAACTGAGTCCTTACTATGTTTCAGGCACTGAGGATACAGGAACAAAGAATGAAAGCATCCCATCGGTGAGCCTAGGGATCAAAGCCATCACTGGGCAGCGACACGCAAGGGAGCGACTTTGAAACTCTGCCTCAGGGGTCCTGTCCTGGCACTGCTTCCCCACCTCCGGGAGGGAGCACAGGACATGCTCAATGTCCAGCAGAGTTTGGTGTCATTTAACA